CATGAATATATAACACTGTGAAGAATCACATCATGTAGCTGCTGATCAGTTTCATGTTGCTGCTGATCAGTTTCATGTTGCTGCTGATCAGTTTCATGTTGCTGCTGATCTGTTTCATATTGCTGCTGATCTGTTTCATGTTGCTGTGTTCATTCGTGCTCATCTGCTCACACAGACTCGTTAGTACTGCTGTTCAGCGTATTGTTGTTGTACTACTAGTGCTTAATGTATTTTAAAAGTTTTTCTTAGTTCATATCTTAGATCTATTACTGTTTTTCTTTTATAATTTAATAATTTTGTTGGATGTAACTGGGACCCTGTGTACACAGTTTGGTGGAATGACAAATAAAGAACCTTGAATGATTTGCATTTAGTTGTTGCTTACTGTTACCTAGACAGCTTTAGTTAGATTGAAAAAATCAAGACCCTAATATTTGGTTTCAATTTATGTAATTACACTATTTTGTTTTTCATCAACCAGTTCATTGGCATCGTCAACATCGTATGTTATCATATGAACATATCAATGTAAAAATATACTAGTATAAGCATAGAAAAGGAAAGTAAAGGCCCATTAGTTAACAAAGTTGTTAAACATAAAATGAAACATGGTTTTGTATTTTACAAATAAATTCACTAGAATTTTTTGTAAACATCTTCAATGAGTTTAGTAAAAAATAAAAGTAAATAAAATTACAGAAAAGAGACAAAGAAACAAACGAATAGTTGAGTCCAAAATTCAGGAAACACATTTCTAAGCAACTCTCCGGTGTGTTTTCATCAGGGGGGTGCTGGTGTTGTAAATGTCACTGAACCACTGCTCGAGATGCGAAGAGTTATGGTTGATGGCAGCCCTCGCCTGATTAATTCATCTTTGATCTGGAGTGGATTAAAATGCAAGAAATAACAGATCAAGAGTGCTGGTGCCAAAAAATGCATTCAAGATCCATGCCAAGATATCAAACATGGAGAATCCCCCAGGTCTTAACAGCAAAATCAGCCAAACCAGTTCTGCTGAAACTGATCTGGAAGTCAAGGAAGTTACTGACCTGTCTTACAACTGCATCGTAATCATTGTCCAGAGACAGTGTGGTAGAGATCTTCACATTAAGACCAACAACATAATCTAAAAACAGAAAAACAACATTACAACGTAGGTTAAATTACAGATTTAGGAGATAAAATTTTTTACATCTAATGGTTACCATGCTGCATTCATCATGGCAGAACAACAAAAAAGGTTCAATCGTGTCATCTGGACCCGTTTCAATAAGTGAGGAGTGTTTCGTATTCCATCCAGAGGACGTCCTCAGTCTTCGGCCTGCCAACCAGATCTGTCCCATAGGTAGCCTTCACTTCAAGCCAACTTCCTGTTGGAATCTCAAACTGGTCCAGATGACACAATGTAACCTTTTTTGTTGTTATCTGCATGGATGATTGAGCTTACAACACTTTTTCTGAACCTCTTTGGCCTTGGTTGTCCTCAGGCTGTTTCTGTGAGTAGCAAGTTGGTCATCTGGCCTAAAACATTTGATTGTTGTACATGATGATTGATTGTTTTGGATGGGTGTGTATTGTATATATGTGTTAAAAACCTGCTTTTGAGATTTCAACAGGAGGTAGGCTTGAAACACAGCGGTGAAGGCTATCTATGGGACAGATCTGGTTGGCAGGCCACAGACTGAAGAAGTCTTCCGGATGGAAGACAAAACATTTCTCACTTAAAGAAACTGGTCCAGATGACACGATTTAACCTGTTTTGTTGTTATCTACATGGATTTGATTGAGCTTACAAACTTTACAGTGGCATAACCCTTGGGCTCTTAGTTCAAACTAAGCATTAAAACAGATTATGCTATCTGAAACTAATAGTTTTATTTTTTCAATACTTACATGGTCCTGGGACAGAGGTTGAAGTTGTCAGAGGACTTGACGTAAAATGCGTGGTTGACGTGGGTGTAGAAGCTTTTATTGGGTCAAATGTTACTGAGGTTGTAGGAGAAGAAATAACTGGGGTGTGAGTAGCTGCTGTATTTGGTGGGGGTGTAGTTGGTGTGAAGGTGGTGTTTGCTGGGCGTGTGGCGATCGTTGAGGTTGGTGCCAATGTGGTATTTCCTGGGGGTGTGGCAATGGTTGAGGTTGGTGCCAATGTGGTATTTGCTGGGGGTGTGGCGATGGTTAAGGTTGGTGCCAATGTGGTATTTGCTGGGAGGGGGTTCATTGTCGTTGTTTTAGCCGTAGTATTCCAGTGTTCCATAAAGAACTTCAAATCGTGACTCATCTGACCACAGAACAGTCTTTCATTTTGCCACACTCCATTTTAAATGACCCCTGGCCCAGTGCAAACGTCTGAGCTTGTGGAGCTTGCTTAGAAATGGCTTCCTCTTTGCACTGTAGAGTTTCAGCTGGCAACGGCGGATGGCACGGTGGATTGTGTTCACTGACAATGCTTTCTGGAAGTATTCCTGAGCCCATTCTGTTATTTCCTTGACAGTGGCATTCCTGTTTGAGGTGCAGTGACGTTTAAGGGGCCCGGAAAGATCACGACCATCCAGTAGAGTTTTACGGCCTTGACCCTTACGCAC